TCCCTGGCATTTTTATTTTATTTTTATTATAAATCGCATTAACATTTATTAGGAATTACTTTGTTTTTACTGAAGGAAAATTTAATTATGGGATTTTGAAAAATAACGAAATAGAAGGTTTTAAATCAATAATTTTGTTTATAGAACACAATAATTATGTAAACTAGAGAGAAAAATGCTATAACCTAACCCTTCCTAGGGATTCACTTAGCAATACCATCGAAACAGGGTGATCAGAGATCAAAGAACGGGAAAACCTGTTGTTTATTTATTTAGAAATCGTGAGATGCGGTCTGGTGTGATGTAGGTTTCAGAAAAACACTTTCTTTATCGTGCCAACGTTTCGATCTTTATTGAGATCATCTTCAGGGCCTGGGATTTACAAATATTGTTGTTTATCTTCAACGATGTTTCTTCTGGTCTTTTCTTTTTTTGTTCTCTGCTTCTTAGCCCCATAGGGCTCTATCATAGATTTTATTTACTGCGAGACGGTCGTAACCCTATACTCCATCGAGCATTAGTCAGAAGTCCGAGTGGATCGAAGTTACGATAGCTCAAGTGGTAGAGTAGCGGCGTAATTAGCCGAAGGTCGTGGGTTCGAATCCCGCTCGTAACACTGGCTTTTTTATTTCAACCACTACCTTACATAAAGATTACTTAATAAACCGTTAATCCATTCTAACATACGTTGTAAGAAAATTATTTTTTCAACTAAGTTAGGATCACGTATTGTAGGGGACGTCATAGGATTTTGAATTTTTCTGAAGTTTCAGTGAGATATTTACGATCTTGCATGGTTTCTTTGTTCGTTGTAGTTATCGACTGTTAACTTTCGGATTCCTAACAGCCTTAAAGTTTTGTGTTAACTATCCTTTGTGTGCACCGAGTAGAGTGAATGAAACACGTATTTCATACATTTCTCATTAAAATGACCTGTACGGTCTCCTAGGTCTAATAAAGTTGGTTTATCATAAGGGGAAGTTAAAAACGCATTATTTAAAGAATTTAGCATTTTTCTTTGTGGAATTTTATCAAAACTTGTAGCCATTCGTGGACAGCTGAGATAGAAAATTAAGTGATGAACAATTGGCTTGGACTTCGCAGTTTGACTTTTTACTACGCTGGTACTATTTACAAAAAAAATTATAAACCCCAAGATCTACCTTTCAATCTTAAAAACTAATTATTCAGATATCGTGAGATGCGGTCGGGTGTGATGTAGGTTTCAGAAAAACATTTTCTTTATCGTGCCAACGAGTGGGCACTCTCAACACGACACGCAAGGATGGCACAATTACACAGAAGACAAACACTTTGAGCCCTGAAGATGATCTCAATAAAAGATCGAAACGTTGGCACGATAAAGAAAATGTTTTCTTGTTTTTTTCTGAAACCTACATCACACCCGACCGCATCTCACGATATCTGAATAACTATCGATTCACGGTCACTAATCTCTACACATCTAAAAACTAAACTGCTCAAAAATGAATAGTGATATTGCCGTAGCATTTACTTTCCCTAGCATTTTTATATTGTTTTTACCATAAGTTGCCGTAAAATTTATTAGAAATTATTATGTTTACGGAAGGAAAAAAGGGATTTTGAAAAATAAAGAAATAAAAGGTTTTAATTCCATAATTTTGCTTATCGGACATAATAATTTTTTTAAACAATTAATACCATTTTATAATGTCCTCTGTTAGCCAAAACCTCTGGGCATCTGTTAGGCATACTGTGAATAAGGTTGTCGCTAATTTCATAAAGCATTTCACTCCATAGATGAAATTTGAGAATAAGTAATTCCATAAATACACCTACTTTTCTAATAAAAACGTGTTCATTATAAATAGACTTAAGGAAATTTTAATAAAGCATGGAGCTCCTCGCTGTAAGTAAAGGCACCAGGTTTAAATCCCGCGGCCCTGCATTAGAACACGACAAACAACGAAAATTTTTACGAGGGTTCGCAACAGCAGAGGTCATATCAACCCTCGGGGTGTCGGTGTTTATAAAATAAGCCCATTTGTAAGTACGTCGGGTTCGAATGCAGGGCCGCTGGATTCGAACCCGGGCCCTTTATCTTACAGTGATGAGCGCCACGTCAACGCCACCAAAAGTTTCATTAATCTGATTACATCGAATTATTAAGAATTCCCATAAGTCTGTTTATAATGAAAGGGGCTTATTGGAAAAGGGGCGATATTTATGGTTTCGCTTATCGTCACTTCCCAACTCTAATTTTTCCAATAATGTTCATTATAATTCATTCATCATTAAAGTTCATTATAAAATATAATAATTATTTGGAGAATGTGAGTCACGATCTCCAAATAATCATTAATTAACGGTCACTACATACCACACATAAAATATAATATAAAATATAAAGCTTTGTTCAAAATCGAATTTTAGTCGCAGTTAAATGAGCATAAATTGTTATTTACTGATTAAAAAATGTCATTTTTAGTGTATTAATTTCATTGTTTGTTAGCAATCAACAAAAATGTTCTACGACGCAGACTATTTTAATTTTATATGATTAAAAAGATAAGTAAACAAAATACTGTTTTTTGTGTGCGTATTTTAAGAAACACTCCGTAAGCAAAGTAGGTCAGAAAATTGTCAAAACTTGAGCTCATTGTCAAATTTGACAAAATTATTAACGATGAGGTCAAATAGATAGAAAACATTCGTCGATCATTCAAGGAATATATCTATTTCTTTCAAGTTTAAGAAACTGTAATTTCATTACATTAATCCATATTTGTTTTTAGTATTTATAATTGACAGTATTAATTATTTAAGTTAATTATATTATCAAAGGTCTTGGTCGAGATGAAAAAGCTAGTGTCACGCGTGGGATTCGAACCCTCGACCTTCGGGTCATACGCCACTGCTCTCTCTCTCACTCTCTCTCTTTCTCTCTCTCTCTCTCACACACACACCAGTCACTATAGCTCAAGTGGTTAGAGCAGCGGCGTATTTAGCCGAAGGTCGTGGGTTCGAATCCCACTCGTGACATTAGCTTTTTCATCTTTTCCAACACCTTAGATAAAAACTATATATAATTTATATAATTTTATTTTTGATTGGAAAAAGTTAATAATCATGAATATCTATTCTCCATTTTGAAATCGAACTGTAATGATTATTCGGAGATCGTGAGATGCGGTCTGGTGTGACGTAGGTTTTAGAAAAACATTTTCTTTATCTTGTCAAAGTTTCGATTTTTTCAATTAATTATTATTTTTATTTAAGATCTCGTTTGAGATGAAAAAGCTAGTGTCACGAGCGGGATTCGGACCCACGACCTTCGGCTTAACCGAGACCTTAGATAAAGAGAATAATTAATTGAAAGAAGTAATTTGGTCAATTGGACTACTAAAATATAACCCTTTTTGATTTTTATTGAGATCATCGAATCGAAGATGGTCTAAATAAAGTTCGAAACATTGGCACGATAAAGAAAATGTCTAAAACCTACGTCACACCAGATCTCCGAATAATCGTTGACTAACGGTCACTAAACACCACACATTTCTACCTGTAATATTAAAATACAAAAAATAAAAATTGAAATCATGAAACACCAATCAAATATGAGTAGTACAAACTAGAATAACTTAATACGTATAATAATTTATTAACTTCGCAACTTATCAAGCGTTGGTATTTCCGTTTCTCTAATGTGGTCCATTCCGTGTGGCTCATGATACGCCCACAGGTCAGCAATTAAAGAAAAACTGTTCGTACATAGGATTTGAATCTAGTCCTATCTCGTCGGCACTAACATTTCACTAAGAATCTGGGACACCTTCAAACTATACAAAACTTCAATCTGCCTAAAAACCTAAATCTAACTTAAAAATACGACTTGGCAGAAAAATAAAATTCAAATTCCAAACGTTTTTTTTTGTTTTTGCCTTGTGCAACCACACATCAGCCATGCCGTCAATCCGGGATGTCAAGCGGGGGAAACCGACGAGAAGAAGCCGCCGCGCCCCGGGCAGCGACAGACCACGACCACGCAGCGGTATGAGCTGCCTTCTTTTTTTTTTATTTTTTCAAATTCCAAACGTTGAAAAAGGGTCTGACACAACGGTTAAATTAAAAAAACACCTTCCTCTCTCTGTTTTAATTGCTTGTGTTTTATTACGAACAGTATCATGTGACAACACATAACAATGTTTCTCTACCCTTGTCAGGATTTCATATAAGCAGAAGGTTTGAACTTTTCAGAATAATCTCGTGTAGTTTTGCGACAAAATTATTTATTTAAACAGAAATACGGCTGAAAGCGACAGCAGTGGGCTATGAAATCTAATTAGGCAAAGTATAAACATTTTACACATATTAACATGGCCAGAGATGTAGTTTCATTCTTATCACCTCTAAATTATAGTAATCATTCTCACTGATTTCATGCATAGGACTTATAAAAAAACAATGAATAACAAGCTAGAATAGGAGGACCGAGATTTAAAATGTTATGTTGCTCGAACAGTTATCATTTTAATAAAAACTAACTTATTATTTTGTCATAAATGCTCGTATTAGTGTACTTTAAATGTTGAATTGAATATTTCAGCCTTTTCTATTCTGATAATCGGTTTGAGCCTCAATAGGTTTTTAAAAAAATTCTAAAGAATCAACACATGAGTTTGTGACGAAAGAGAGGACGAGCTTATGCAAATAGAACAAAGGTTTCAAAATGATTTCTATTCACGTCGTAAAAAGGAAAAAAGAGCAGATGCTCTTGTAAATTTTTCCTCTTCCTCTGCCGAGAAGAACTTCTTAACCGCTATATCAGATTGATTAATGTTGGGAAAATCCCAGTGGACTTTATATGTCAAAATGATTAGATGTGTTTATTAGAAATTTAAATATTTCTCGTCGAAATAGTTGATGGTAAAAACAAGCTTTTTCCATTTAAAAGTTGACAATTTGAACAAATCTACATGCCTGGTTGGGTAAAAATGAGCATATTTTAAACTAACCGTTCAGACCTGTGGAAGTACGCCAATTCTTCGTCCAATTCTTTCTCACTGTCCGCATACGTGATTTCTTCCGTATTCATTTGCCTACTTCCTGCAAATAAAAGTTATCCAATTAGAATTTCCTGTCCAACTGTCGAACAGCCAATACGAAATACACAGCAAAATGTAATTTGTACTGAAAATATTACAAGTTTACATTGCTAAGTTTGATGTTTTAATCAGTGCGATATTATATCAACAACTGGAAAAAAAGCAGAAGGTGTCACTTCACTTGCAGTGTGCATCTGACGCATGGTGGCCTGTTTTCCGTGGCAATTAAAATACACTCAAAGGCAAAAAAAAACTTTAAAGTTACACCCAAAAAGTTAAACACTTGTAGTGATTTCTTTATTTTCCATAATAACTAGGTATAAATGTGTAGAGATTAGTGACCGTTAATCGATAATTATTCAGATATTGTGAGATGCGGTCTGGTGTGATGTAGGTGTCAGAAAAATATTTTCTTTATCGTACCAACGTTTCGATCTTTATTGAGATCATCTTCAGGGCCTGGGATTTACAAACATTGTTTACATTTAACAAATACATTTAGGATGTGGAAAAGTGAATTAATACAATGCAAAATATATTCAATTTTCTACTCACTCAAAGTGTTTGTCTTCTGTGTAATTGTGCCATTCTTACGTGTCGTGTTGGCACTCTCACTTTGAGTGAGTAGAAATACTTTGATTGAATATAGAATATGCTTTGCATTGTATAAATTCACTTTTCCACACCCTAAATGTATTTGATAAATGTAAACAATGTTTGTAAATCCAAGGCCCTGAAGATGATCTCAATAAAGATCGAAACGTTGGCACAATAAAGAAAATGTTTTTCTGACACCTACATCACACCAGACCGCATCTCACGATATCTGAATAACTAGGTATAAAGATGAATAGTTGACCTAAAATGTAAACACAACATTAATAGCTTTTTTCTTTTTTTTTACCTTTATAGAATGTTACTAATCCTTTTACACTCTTCGGATGAAAAATACAAGAGAAAATCATTCTATTTTATCCTTTTCAGAACCAAATTGTCGAGTGAGTTAATTGGTGTCTAAATTGTTTTCTTTGATAAAACAATAAATTGGAGTAAACACTTTTTCCCTTGAAATGGTCGAGATCTCGCCTGGGTAGTTGCTTTGGCCAACGACGGACGTAACGTCCGTTACATAGCCCAAGACCTTGTCGTGCCGCGCTGTACCTTTGAAGATGGGGTTTAGGGCCACCGGAAGTCTCTCAAGTAGTGGTCGACCGCGATGTATGAAGGCTAGGGACGATCGTTTTATTGCTCTTCTTGCACTGTGGAACCGTCACTTAACGGCTTCCTTGATTCTCAACTCCCAACGGTCCGTAATGTAAAGGTGAGATCTAAAACAGTCACCAGAAGGCTTCGAGAATAGGCTAGTCTTTAGATGTCCTGTATCAGGTACTCTACTATTGGAGATGCACCGAATAAAAAGGCGACTATTCGCAAATCAGCATCTCGCTTGGACACTTGAACAATGGGGTTCACTTCATGACAGCGGGACCGTGTGTGGAGACGTGGAAAACGTTTTGTTCCATGTGTCATACGTGAGTCACAGCGTTTTCAAAGACAGTCACTGGTGGTATGGGGTGGAATCAACGTCCAGGTCCGTACCGAACTGATTATCATACAGAATGGATCGTTGGCTGCACTGAGGTACAGAGAGGACGTTATACTGGAAACTGTGGTCCAATTTTTTATATTTATTGGGGACAACTTCGAGTTTAATGCATGATAGCTTGGAGGATGTAGGGTTCCCACAATGAATTGGCGAGCACGTGCTTCTGACATGGATACTCACAACACTTATGGTACATGATAAAGAGACGTGTTAAACATCCACGCGGTCCATCCCGGACAGATAAGTTAAACTATCTGACTAATTCATTATATTTCGAGGCCGTTTGACCAAACAGCTTCTTTCAAGTAATTCATCTTTAAGTAAGGTATCGGTGGGAATAAAAAAGCCAGTTTCACGAGCGGGATTCGAACCCATGAACTTCGGCTCAATACGCCGCTGCTCTACCACTTGAGCTATAGTGACTTCGATCCGCTAGGACACCAACTTCCCATCTGAACCTACCTTTCGAATTTTTCCTCCTTTTTGCCATTTTTCAAATGTCGTGTAATCAGGATTCGATTCTCGGCGGCAAATGATATGGCCACGGAGAGCTTTAGTGAAGATATACTTCGTTTTACTAATTAAATCAATATATGTCGTGGTCCGATTGACCAAACAACTTCTTTCAATTAATTCATCTTTAACTAAGGTATCGGTTGAAATAAAAAATCCAGTGTCACGAGCGGGATTCGAACCCACGATCGGCGGATAAATACATCGCTGCTCTACCGCTGGAGGTATCGTAACTTCGATCCACTCGGACTTCTGACTATTGCTCGATGGAGTATAGGGTTACGACCGTCTCGCAGTAAATAAAATCTCTGATAGAGCCCTATGTGGCTAACATGCAGAGAACAAAAAAAAAGAAAAGACCAGAAGAAACATCGTTTGCCGGCTCCAACAGATGAACAGCTTTAAACCGCTCTTGTTGAAGAATGGGATTCTGTTTCACAAGACGAAATCCGATCTAAATTCAATCTAAAATGCTAAAGAATATACACAAAACATACAATACATATATCGTGAGAAGATTTAAAAAAAATCTTTTATATGAGTATGTACTTATGTATTCATAATAAAATAATATTTATTATTATTAGTTCAAACGTCATAGCCATGTCTACAAGGTAGCCCCTCTCTTCTTCCCTGACCCGAACAAAGGGCCAGCACCACCCCCTCGAAATATGTATGTGTACGTACAATCTGGCAGATCCGCAAGGAAAGATGTGCATGTACGTGCCAACCATTCACATCTTTCAAGGATCCGGAGATTTCTCCTTTTACCTGATTAGCCATCACGACGGTGGAAGCACCACCAGGCCACCATTAACCCCTGTCTGATGCTAAGAGCGCACACCGTGTAACCTCTGTTTCTCATTAAATTTTAACTTTTAACTTAAATTTTTTCAATTATACACGTTTAAGGCTTCTGTGGTTTAGCATTATATTATAGTTAAATGGGAGCGCCAGGCATAAGCATGAATAGCATTACAAGTTCTTCCTGCCTCGAAAGATTCAAGATTGTCAACGTTCTGAACAGACGTGATCATAGTTGCAATCAAAATTGTGGTTCAAAAACCAGTTAAGTACCTAAGAAAGCGGTGTTGAATCGTGTCGATACTGTTGAGAGGAATAGTAAGGAGACCAGACAATAGAAGAAAATTCAAGTTTTGGTCGAACACAAGATATAAAGAGTAGTTTAATTATGACTATATTTTTTAAAGATTTTGAATAGCGAATTAAAAACCCAAGTGTTTTTAGAGATTTAGTGGAACTTTTAAATATATGGTATCTGAAGTATCATTGATAGTCAAAGTGAATTCCTAAATCTCTAATTATATCAACTTCAGTAAAATTTCATTATTAATAGATCAATTAATTATTCTTTTTATGTAAGGTTTTGGTTGAGATGAAAAAGTTAGTGTCACGAGCGGGATTCGAACCCACGACCTTCGCTCAATACGCCGCTGCTCTACTACTTCAGCTATCGTTAACACATTTTAAAAGAACAAACTTCTTACGTTTGTTGGAAAAGAATATGAGAAAAACTGTAAATAAAAGTTAACCCGCTATTTTATTTGGTTTTCAAAATATCTTCTATTATTCCTAATAGAAAATATTCAAATTGTTTAATATTTCTTTCTAAGCCAGTTGCACTATCTGGTAGGGTAACTATAACGTCAGCATACATTAATATTTTAATTGCCGTGTTACCTATAGGAATTCAACATTCCAGGACATTTAAGGGGTCACGTAAAAAGAGAGCGAATAAGATTGGGCTCAACAGGCAACCCTGACGCACTCCAGAATGCACTTTAAAAAACTCTGAAATACCCTCCTTTCCACGCACACACGAAGAAGTCACAGAAAATAAGGATTTTAAAGTGTGTGTGTGTAAAACCATTTTAGAGGAAAATCCTAAATCACTAAGTTTTAAAAACAATCTCCGACGATCTATATCAGCAAAAGCAGCTTTCAAATCGACAAAGATGAAATACGTCTTTTACTTTGGCTTCGACAATCTTAAACTGACGAGTTCGCCAATACCGATAGATTGTCACTAATCGAAAACCCTTTTTGACTTTCTCCTAGTAAACCGTTGGCATCAACATAAACTTCTATGGCCACACCATTCAAACACGAAATACCTCTGTATTTAATAGGATCATTTCTATCCCCATGCTTAAATATAAGCAAAATAACCGATTCACCATATGAAGAAGGGACTGAACCATATTCATAAACATAGTAATAAAAAGCAAAGGAGATATTATTGGAATTGACGTGGTGCATATTTAAAAAAACCATAAAGAATTCTATCTGGGCCCGCTGCCTTTTCATCTTTTAATTTATTTTATACCGGGAGTAGGTCCTCAAGAGTGAATAGTGCGTTTAGAGTGCAATTAAAAATCATAGCTTCTGCATAAAAGTACGAATTTTTGTCGGTTTTTATCGGATTCAGAAGTAAACGGAAGGGCTGAAGCCATGTATCCATAGATACCTCACCACAAATGAAAATCTCTCCTCTAAATCTATTTACCAATTGTCAAAACCTCTTCGCATCTTTTACAGTTGCTATTTGTGAGACAGCGACAGCCAAATCGTACGAGGACAAGCAGACCAGGGCGATAACAGGTTAAATTAAAAAGGCAATCATCACCTTACAAAGCGAGTCTTAACGCACGAATGGCAATTGGACATTATTACGTATACGTTTGAGAAAGAATCGCATTCCCTTCGACATAATTCTCGGCTTAAAGAGAAAATAACATGCAGCACGTTATAATGCTTTAAAATGTTATAATCGTACTCTAGAACATAAAAGGATAATGATAACAAAAGTACAAAACATGTACTCAAGGCGAGGAAAATTATTTCTTTCGGCTCAGGAAAGA